AAGGAAAGACTAAAATAGATGCACTGTTTGATGAAACTCAACATATATTCAAAATGGATACTTTCAGCAAATTAGAACAGAATGGAATGGCTTACTCCGATAGTCAATGTATTTAAAAATACAGTAAATATACTGGTGAAATGTTGAAATTTTTTCCATTTCTCATCAGTGATAAGTCAAAAATGTCCACTAGCACCATCGTACCAGATGGGTTTGCCCAATGCCATAAAATCACAAAGGAAATAAAACTCTTCAAAATGAGTGGCTGAGGTGGGAGGATTGCTTGAGCCTGGGAAGCAGAGGTTGCAGTAAGCTGAAATCACACACTGCACTCCAGCCCAGGTGACAGAGTGAGGCTCTGTCTCAAACAAACAGACTAACAAACAAAAGAAGCCAGAGAATTCAGAATTTAACAGGATCTAACAATAGGCATTCGGATCTCCACACCGCTGGAGAGTGCTCAACAGCCCACAGCCTTCCCAAATGCCAGACCCATTCTTTACTGCCCGCCAAGCCTCCCTCTACGCCCCAACTCCCGGGGCCCCATTCAAGACTCAGGGATCTGCCCTGTGTTAGGGGTTCCCGGCACCTCAGGACTTCTATCCCTCCAACATCACCCACAGTACTCGCCCCATCTTCACCTTCACTTCCATGGCCCACATTCCTCCCTTTCCTGGCCCCTTCAAAAACGCAAAGCCAATTGTGGCCTTGCAGCCTGTGAAGAGAAGGAAGATAACCTCATGGCCCTGCTCTTTCGAGGTCAGGAGGCCCTTCTCCCTTAGAGACCACAGACCACGCAGCAGGACGCACCAGACCTACCTGATGCTCACTGCCTCCTCCTCACCCTCACTCACACTTCAGCCCTCAGGAGGACTGCCATGCGGGCCTACCAGATGAGTCTCAGTAGAAGAAAAAGTGTCCAGATGGCACGAACAGGACTGCACACCCTCCCAGCTCCCTGGCGTTTGCCAAGTAGGCAAACACGCTGACCGGAAGACAACCAGGGAACATGCGCACTGAGGCGGGAGCCCAAGGAGCATGGGCAGCTGGGGGGAGGGGAGTGCTGCCTTTCCTAGCCCCATACCCCAAACCCAATTCCCATCCCCACTGAGGATAATGGAATCCGACCTCCCTCTGCTATTTCCTATGCCTCTGGGACTCAAATACCTCAAATAGTGCTCCCCTCAAAACTCACTCCATCTTCAACTGAACCCCCCGCCCCTACAGGACCCTCTCTTGCCCTGGCCCCACAATGGGGACAAGGACCATGGTGACTGACTAGAAAGACAGGTAGACCACCTGCTAAAACAGAAATAACGACCTACCCCAAAAAGAAATTGTTCAACATGAACAAGTCAGAGAAAGAGACTGAAAGAATGAATACAACCTCAAGGGCCTGTAGGAAAATACTAAAACGTCTATCATTTATAGCATCAGAATCACAGAAGAAGTAACAGTACCAGGAAAACAAGAGCCTAGGACAGCCAGAGTGACACCATCTGAAAATCAACTCCATCTTGAAACTAACAAGACACATTCCTTACCAGTCACAACCCACGGCCCTAACATGTTTGTAGTTGAGAAAACAGACTAAAGGTACTTATAAGGACATGGTCCCACAGCAGTGAAAAGTGCAGGGGTCCCAACACCCATAGCAATGTATGCTTTAAAAATCATTATGCTTTCATGTACTTACACACTGGAAAGTCAAGGATAGTTTTCTTTAAATTAATAGAATGATAAATTTCATCATGCTGTTAGCCCACCCTCAAAAAGGTACAGATAAGGTTAGTCTTTACATGGATAAGACCCTGATATAAGAAAAACCTGGTCAGGCCAAGGCTCACGCCTGAAATCCTAGTATTTTGGAAGGCTGACCTGGGCAGATCACCAGAGTTCAGGAGTTCAAGACCAGTGTAAGCAACATGACAAAATCTCATCACTACAAAAAGAAAAAAAAAATAGAAAAATTAGCTGGGCATGGTGGGATGTACCTACAGTCACAGCTACTCAGGAGGCTGAGGTGTGATTATTGCTTGGGCCCAGAAGGTCAAGGTTGCAGTGAGCTCGGATAACACCACTGGACTCCAGCCTGTGTGACAGAGTGAGACCCTGTCTAAATTTTTAAACATACAATATAAAAAAGTACAAATGTATCAACCTAATTCATTATATTAACAGATTAATAGGAAAAAATTCCTTGATAATCAAAATAGATGCACTGTTTGATGAAATTCAACATACATTCAAAATGAATACTCTTAGCAAATTAGAACAGAATGGAATTACTTACTCTGATAAAGTCCAAAACTACTAAAGTAAATATGATGGTGAAATGCTTAAATATTTTCATTTCTCAGCATGGATAAGACAAGGGTGTCCACTATCACCATTGTACCAGGTGGGTCTGCCCAATGCCATAAATTCAGAAAAGGAAATAAAACTCTTCAAAATGGCAGCAACAGGCCTGATGCGGTGGCCCACGCCTGTAATCCCATCACTGTGGGAGACTGAGAGGGGTGCATCACTTGCACTAAAGAGTTCAAGAACAGCCCTGGAAGCATATCAAAACCCCGTCTCTACAAAAAATACAAAAGGAAATAGAAAAAAAAGGCAGAAACAAAACTGCTCTTATTCAAAGATGATATGACTCCATATGTTGAAGACTGAAAAGGATCTAGAAGTAAACTTTAAGAATTCATAAGCATATTTAACAGGTTGCTGGATAGAAAGCTCCATATATAAGTATTAGGTCTCTACATACCACCTCAAACAAACAGAATATAACATTTCAAAGAATGGTATATATTTCAAAGCATCAAATACCTAGAAATAAAGTTTACAAAAGATGTGCAAGACTTCTTTGCAGAAGGCTGTAAAACTTTATTGAGAGAACTTTAATGAACAACTTTCCAACATGAAAGCAGCATCATTTCAGCGTGTCTTCTTTTAATGCTGTGATTGCTTTTCACCTGTAACAGAAACACAACAGTTGGGAACATGACTTAGTAACAGATTATTTACATGACCCTAAAGGCATACAAAGCACACTACACTTTGGGTTTTCTAAAATGGACTGAAAACAGAACCCCAAGGGTGATTCTGTGTCTTACATCCGATTAAACCTCTGTACACACTTTGAGGGTAGACCTGCAGAATTTAAGAGTAATTTCATCCCTAAACATTAAGTGCTTCCTTTAAATTCAAAAGCACTTATAATTAACAGTCAGTAATTCAGAAAACACATGTGAAAAACATACTTCAGCTGATTACTCAGAAAGTATTAAAGTCATGGTCTTTGAACTTCAGATCTTATCAACTCATGTCTCAAAAGCTGAAACTTACATATAACATTTGATATGCTTACAGGTGATTATATCATCTATGTGTCTACAGTCTTATTAGAAATAGTGCCTCATGAAGACTGACAGTAGGGCAGGGAGGGTGTTTAACAAAGGCATCTTTTTTTTTTTTTTTTTTATGAGTCTTGCTCTGTCGCCCACACTGGAGTGCAATGGTGCAATCGTGGCTCACTGCAACCTCCACTTCCCGGTTCAAGAGATTCCCCTGCCTCAGCCTCCCAAGTAGCTGGGTTTACAGGCCCCCGCCAACACGTCTGGCTAATTTTTGTATTTTTAGTAGAGACGGGGTTTCACCATATTGAGCAGGATAGTCTTGATCTCCTAACCTCGTGATCTACCCACCTCGGTCTCCCAAAGTGCTGGGATTACAGGCGTGAGCCACTGCACCCAGCCCAGAAGAATCTTACTCACACCCATGCTAAGCATCACTGATCTGCATGCCACAGATAATAGAAAGTAAACAGTCTCTCGCCACTTGATATTTCAGTCACTTAAGGTTTTCTTGAAAGAATATTGAAAAAGCGATTATTCATTAATAGCCAGAGAATCCGGGCCTGGGCAACATAGTGAGACCTCATCTCTATAATAAATTAAGAAAAAAAAAGAACAAAAACAAAAACAAAATTAGGCACAGTAGCTTGTGCATGTAGTTCCAGCCACTCAGGAGACTGAGGTAGGAGGATTGCTTGAGCCTGGTAGGCAGAAGTTGCATTGAGCTGAAATCACACCAGTGTACTCCAGCCCAGGTGACAGAGTGACACTCTGTTTCAAACAAACAAAAAAAAAGAAGCTTGAAAATTGAGAATTTGACAGGATCTAACAACAGGCATTCAGGTCTCCACACAGAAAAACAAACATGAAGCAGAGTGCCTGCTCACTTTCTTCGTAGCAATGAAATCTCAATTCACAGGTCTGCAGATGACACAGGCCAGGGTTTCATGATTTACAAAAAACAAATCATACAAACAGATGATCTCTATATCCTATGCATTCTATTCAACAGGATCAGAGTATGAAAGAAGTAATGTGTTATGTATTTGTTCAAAGCAGACCTTTACAAAAGCATCTTATAATTAGGGACTATTGGTTTAAGGACTTAAAATCAAATGTTTTCATTCAAGATGACTTTGACTCAGTGTGTTTCTATATCTGACAGTCTATAGGTCAGGTGCTGGGGCCTAAACTATGTTTCAAATAACCTTTATGTTATAAGAACTCTATTATTAAGGATTCAGTACTGTTACCTCTCTGTTATTAAAAATATAATACAGGGTCAGGCAGGGAGGCTCACGCCTATAATCCTAGCATTTGGAAGCCCGAGGCAGGTGGATCACCTGAGGTCAGGAGTTTGGGACCAGCCTGTACAACATGACAAAAGCTCATCTCTACTCAAAATACAAAAATTAGCTGGGTGCATTAACACACGCCTGTAATCCTAGCTACTCGGGAGGCTCAGCCAGGAGAATCACTTGACCCTGGGAGGTGGAAGTTCCAGTTAGCTAAGATGGCACCCCTGCACTCCACCCTGGGCCACAGAGTGAGGTTCCATCTCAAAAACAATAAAAGAAGAAGAAGGTAATACTGTGGAAACAGACACCCTACAATTTGCATGCCTCATAAATTGCCTACCTGCTTCTGGCGGTTTCACCTGCTCTGGATTTGGCAGGCGCATCTCCTGGACATCAGGACCATCTCCACGCTCACACCCAGTCTTTGGGTGAACCTGTTCCTGGCTACCAGCTTCAGGCTCCTGCCCTTTAAAATTTTTTTAAAAAAAATTATCAGTTTAAGCAGTAAAACATGAAATATGAATAAGGAAATAATATTCATGCTCTCAGTGTATTAAATAAAAGATTTAGCTAGTGTCATAATAAATGTGTTCATAACAATCCCAGGAACATTATTTCAGGAGTCTGTTAGCAGAAAACAGGAAAACGGGGTTTTCCAAATATTACCCTCTTCCTGAAGACTGCCCTCACACAATGTTGTTGCCTCCTTTGCACCGCTCTGTTATTGGCCTTCTGAGTGTCCTTATCACATCAAATGACTCAAGGCAGAAATCCTGTCTCTCGTAGCACTTACACTCCCTAGCACTTAGACTCTTATATGGCCTGAGTAGCCACCAATAAACCCTGAGTGAAAAATCTTTAAACCATACATGAAAAAGCCCAAACTGCTGAACATTCTGCAAACCAACTGGTCTATCCTCTTCAAAAATGTCCGTACCATGAATGACAAAGAAAAATTAAGGAACCATTCACAATTAAAGGAAACTAAAACCACATGACAAGCACATGTAACATGTGATCCTGAACTGGACTCTGCATTAGAAAAAGAAATTCTATAAAGGAAATTATCTGGGCCAGATGTGGTGGCTCACGCCTGTAATCCCAGCATTTTGGGATGTCAAGGTGGGCAGATCAGGTGAGGTCAGAAGTTCAATACCACCCTGGCCAACGTGGTGAAACCCCATCTCTACTAAAACTACAAAAAAAGAAGAAACATTAGCCAGGCTCAGTAGTTGGCAACTGTAGTCCCAGCTACTCAGGAGGCTGAGGCATGAGAATCCCTTGAACTTGGGCCGTGTAGGT